AGCCCCCTGGAAGTGATGGCAGACAAATTCCATGCCTTCCAGCTGCATCCACTTTTCCCAAACCTACCCCTGACCTCTGACCCCTGCTGTTCTCCTGTGGGGCAAATCTGCACTTTGTCTCTGGGTCAAGTGGGAACTTCCAGGTCCCACAGCTCTCTTAGTGGGAGCTGCTGGATGGCTCACATTTGCCTTCCTGGCTGGGGTAAGGTTGCCTTTCTTTCCTTGTACCCTCGTCCTTCCCCCAACTCTGCCTGAGGAGCAAGGCCTGGTGGAGAAGCCCGCCTGCCCCTCCTGCCCCTGTCCCGCCGCCCACCCTGGCGGGCCTGGAGTTTCCCTTTGAGCTCCGGGGTTCAGGGCCTGAGTCAGAAGTAGGGCAGGTGGAGGGGGCAGGAAGTCCAAATAAGCGCTTCCTCCGCCCACCGTCGGACTTCCGAGACACCGGCCCCAACGGCAGGGCGAGGGGGACAGAGAAGCGGGGATGAAACCGTTTTCTCAAAAGAAGGCGAGTGTCGGCTGTGAGGAAGTGGAAAATATTGCTCCTCGTCCCTTGCGAGGAGCGGGGGTTCATGTTTTCCTCCCGCGACATCCCAGGATGGGGGGAGGTGAGGCCATGTGGCGGGTGGGGAGGGAGGGGGCCTCAGTGGCTGTCAAGACAGAGCGGAGTGTGGCCCGGAGAAGGGCCGCTGTGGGGTCACCGGCCCCGTCCAGGGGACTGTCGGAACTCCCCCCCACCCCCCCCATGGGCAGCGCAGTGTGTCACCCAGGAGGGGACAGTGCTGCCACGGCCTGCCTCTGAGAAAGGCGGGAAAACTGCCCCTCCCTGCGGGGATGAGCACTGCAGCCTTTTGTCCCCCAAAAGGCAAACCCAGGCAGGCCCTCCAGAAAGTTCCAGCAGCGAATTATCTCGGCCTCCGGTCATACGTCCCCGAGTAACAAGTTGGTGGCAGTGAGGCTGGGTGGACGCATGTCAGGGCATCTTCTTGCTTGCGTCCCACCTCAGTGTCCTCTCTGGGCCACATGCCACCACCTGTGCCTCTCCCCTGGTCCAGAGCCTCTGTCCAAATCACATCCACACAAGCGCTTCCTCCCACCCACCTCTGACCTCTCGGGTTCCTCTCCCACGAAAGCCGGCACATTCTCATCTGTAAAGTCCCCATTTCCATCCTCCCCGGTGGGTAAGCGACAACTCCCCCACCCCTTCCCGCACCCCCCACAGAAGCCACACTCCTAAGTCTCTTCCAACGAATGGGGGACTTTTCTCACCTCTGGGATTCCTGTGAAGAAAGGCAGTTACTTCCCTACCCGGTTCTGCCGTGGGTTAGAGGGACCGGGAGGGACGGGAGTAAGGGGGGGAAGGGTTGACCCTCCACTCTGGGTTGGAGTTTGCAGCCCCCACACCTGCGTTTTGTGCCTAAGCTCCAGCAACCTGACACAGCGCCCCCTGCAGGGACTGTGTCTGTCCACAGCCCCCGCTTGGCGTTTCAGATTCCTATTCCAGGAGCCCGTCCTGGGTACTAGCAGGATGCGGTTCTCATTGTGCTCAGAGACCGTTTGCCCTTTTCCTAACCTTGAGAAACGCATCACAAGGCCTAAGAGGACCTCGGCTAACCTTTTCATTTGCTACCCTTTTAACTTTCTGAGTTCTGGGTTTCTCCACCTGTTTGGGGAGGGAGGGAGAGATGGGCGAGGGTCTCCTCGCTGCAGGACAGTCACTGCTTTAAATCACTGCGCCCTACCCGGGCCCCCTCTGCTCTGCTTCACGCTTGAGACCGACAGACTGATGCTCTCAGCCAAACTGAACTAGCCCTGGACCCCCGTCACGGCGCCCCGCTGCCATGCCTGTACCCTGAGGTGCCCCATTTTACAGGTGAGGGACCAGAGGCTGAGCCGAGTGTCCTGGCCTGCACGGGGCCACACTGGTCCCCTGGTCTCCTGAGCCTGTCTCGGGGGCTCCCTGGCCCTGCTCCTGGAGCTTCGGGGGCCCTGCAGCCAGGGACGGGAGATGTGAAACTCGTGAGTGTTGGGAAATCACCGCGGTGGCCTGAGGCAACACGCTTCCCCTTGCGTCACCCGCTCTCCCACCCAGCCGCCCTTCTGAGGAATGGGCTGCGGTTCTGTGGGGAGGGGGCATCCGATGCCAGCCTATGCCAAGGGCTGTAACCTTTTCTGAGCTTGTTGGGATTGACAACCCTGCTTTGTGTTTATGGAAGGCAGACCATACAGAGGGCACTGCACAGGCTGTGGAGACAGCCCCGGGTCTCAATCCGGACTCCACCTCGGGCAACTTAGGTGACATCTCAGAGCCTCAAGGTGGCCAGTGGCAAGGGACAGGGGCTCTGAACTCAGGTAAAATTGGAGGAGACCTGGCTGTGCAAGCTACTTGCCAAGTGCAAGGGGGCAAGTAGCTTGACCTCTGTGAGATGCAGTTTTCTCTTCCGTAGAAGTAATAATTGTGCCAACCATTAAGTAAGACAATCAGTATGCAAAGTTCTCAGCATGCTCCCTGGCACATAGGAAGAGATGGAGGCATTGCGTCTCTTATGGTTCTTATTGTCATCATTACTATCATCCAAATCTCTTAACTGCCATGTCTACCTTCTGAATGAGCTGCCTGGACTGTCCCTCTTGGCCACAATTATTGGGTTGTTCTTCTAAAGGATTCTAATATTTACCTGTGCCTTCATTACAACTTCTGATTTTCTGTAGTTTTTTTTTTTTTCTCGTCCTGAGAAAGAATGAACATCATTTAAAAATATATATATTGGCAAGAAGTGGTGGCTCACGCCCATAATCCTAGCACTCTGGGAGGCCGAGGTAGGAGAAGCGCTTGAGCTCAGGAGTTCGCATGTGACCATCCGGAGCAAGAATGAGACCCTGTCTCTACTAAAAATAAAAAAATAAAAAAATAGGCAGGTGTCATGGCACACACCTGTAGTCCTGGTTAGTAGGGAGGCTGAGGCAGGAGGATCATTTGAGCCCAGGAGTTTGAGGTTGCTGTGAGCTGTGATGATGCCATTCATTGTACTCTACCCAGGGCGACAGAGTAAGACTCTGTCCCCAAAATACACACACACACACACACACACACACACACACACACACACACACAGCTTCTACTTTTAAGGATGATCTGGAATGTTCCTTTCCACAAGTGTCGTGTAGTTTGAGAGAGAGATTGATTCAGACCAGGATCACCCTCCTGTGTACTCCATCTTCCAGGGCTCTGCTTAAATATCAGTTAATTCCATGACATCTTTGATTACTCTACTTTGAAGTGATTTCTCTCTGTCCCTCTCTTTTCAAATGGCTTTTTTTCATTTGCTGCTATGCTGGTGGTTTGAAAGACGAGTGACCTCTTTCACCAGTGACCGAGCTTTTGAGCAGCAGGTCTGAGCTTTAAACAGCGCGTCAGGTACGGAGAACTCGTAGGCACGAGGCCCTGTGAGGAGCACTTGGCCTAGGCTACCTTGATGAATGCCCCGGCACCCTCTGAGTCAGGTAACGCTGGCTTGCATTTACGACCCACTTTTTAGGCGCCGGGCCTGGAACTAAATGCATTCAGTTGACAACCTGCTAGTGAAGCAGGTGTATTTGGTGACAAGGGGGCTCCTGAGAGTATGCAGAAGATGGAAACTTGCATGGCCATAGATGCCCTTGAAAACCTTCAGGAAGACCTGAAGCACTGAACAGATGGCTCTGTGTGTATGTGTTTGTGGGTGTGTGTGCGTTTGTGTGTGTGCGTTTGTGTGTGTGCGTTTGTGTGTTTGTGTGTATGTGTGTTTGTGTGTGTGTTTGTATCTGTGTGTTTGTGTATGTGCTTGTGTGTATGTGTGTGTTTTGTGTATGTGTGTATGTATGTGCTTGTGTTTGTGTTTGTATGTGTGTGTTTGTGTCTGTATGTGTGTTTGTGTGTGTGAATGTGTGTGTATATGTGTTTGTGGTGTTGTTTGTGTGTTTGTATGTGTTTTGCTGTATGTGTTTTGTGTGTGTGTGTATTGTGTGTATATGTGTTTGTGTGTTTGTGTTTGTATGTGTGTGTTTGTGTGTGTGTTTGTGTCTGTATGTGTGTTTGTGTGTGTATGTGTGTTTGTGTTTGTGTGTTTGTGTGTGTGTGGAGTATTAGATGAAGTAGCTCACTTGTGTTTAGAGGGTGCCATGTTGCACAAATATAGTTGCTTTTAGACACTGGACCTACTTTCTGCCAACGAGTTGCTCAGTTATGAGAAGTACACAGGTCTGAGATGGATAAGAAAACAGCAGATTCCCATCTCCTATCTCCAGGCAATGTGCTCTTGGTCTAGAATATACGGTGAAAACACAGTGAACGGAATAATGGCACCATCAAGAGCAATCATTAACTTTTCTTCTTTCTAATTGTTCTTTTTAACTATGTCTAGTTGAATGCAACTACATTTCCCTGTGTGTGAGGCATTCCTCTGTTTTCCCATTTTACAGATATGGAAACTGAGACTCCCAGAGTTTAAGTCCTTGCCTAAGGTTGCACAGAGCAGAAATGGCCCCAGCAGAAATTGAGCCCTGTCTGCCCAGTGCAGCGCCCTGTGAGCCCTGGGCGCCTGACTCACTCCCTTGCTGAGGTCCTTGTCATGATGAACCGTGAAGAGGCAGCTGATGGAATCCCAACTTTCGATGGTGACTGTGGGATGGGAGCGGAAGGTGGTAGAAATGCATCAAAAGGCCAGCAGTTCACTAGTGTGGGAAATTGTCTCCATTTTAGGTCAATTGTCAAGACAGATTTTGGTCTGCCCAGACCCAGGCGAGCAGGAATGTGGTGCAGACACATGGTTGCCAGGAGTTTTAATGGAAAAACACTTGGGCTCCCATTGGAGTTTAAGTCCCCTTCATTGCTCCCCTACTAGGCTGGGGTGACTCGGGCAGTGGGGAATCACCAGGCCTGTGGCTCTCGCTGCATCTCAAGTCCCCAGAGCTGGGCTTCCTTGTTTACTTATTTAGAGCTAGCAGCGGAAGTGGTAAAGGAAACTAGCTGAGTCGTTTTCTGAGAAGAGACCATATTTGTTCGCAGAGGAAGCCGTTGCTTTCTGGGATCTGGCTACAGCAGAAAAGACGGTCTGCTCCAGAAAGGCTGCTCTAGAGGGAAGCTGGCAGTTGGAAGAGCCCAGGACGCCTCCGAGCTCTGGATTGGGGGTCCTCCGTCTATGGGTGCAGCGCCCATGCCCAGCCTGTGAGCTTCCTCCTGGAGAGCAGCCATGGCGCTTCGGAATGTGCCCTTTCGCTCAGAGGTCCTGGCCTGGGACCCCGATAGCCTTGCTGACTATTTTAAGAAGGTGAGCCTTGCCTTTTGTCAATGGTTGGGCTGGTGGGCTTGCCCTTGGTGGGCTGGGCAGGGGCTCGAAGATAGAATCCGGGCAGATCCCGCGAGGTGTGTAAGATAGTGATGAAACTAACAAGCCCACGGCTATCTTACCGGTTGAACGAGAGCCGTGTAGACCGCTGAGTTTTCATGGCAATGAGTTCTGGAGAGAAAGTGGGAAGGGGAGCCCCCACGTGAGTGTGTGCCTACTATGTGCGGCGATCTGAATTCAGTGCTTTATTGGCACTGGCACACTTAACACTCCCCGCTGCCTTGGGTGGTTGATATTGTCATCTGTCCCCTCAGCTCAGCTGCAAAGCCAGCTCAGGGGAGTTAAATGGCCCAAAGCCCCAGAGACTATAGGTGATAGAGGCAGGATTCAAGTCACACCTCTGTGGCTTCAACGTCCATGCTCTAAGATGCAGAGAACTGCTACACCCGCTAATGAGATCAAGGCTACTTACGAGAAAGGGGAGACTGGAGTCCTGGGCTGGGAGAGAGGACAGGCAGGTGGGAGAGCTGGCAGGGGCTATGGTGAGCAATGCCAGACATGGCATTTGGGCATTCTTTGCACACAGCATGAGAGAAGGGTCCTCAAGCTCTCCCATGGGACAAGGTCTCATTAGAACTTTATGAGAGTCTCATGAGGCAGGCCAGAAAACTGATACAAGCCCCAGTGTACAGCTAGGGAAACTGAGGCTCCTATACCACTGTAGGCTTAGCCAAACAGAGCCCAGGGCCAAGCTTGCAGCAGAGCTGGGGCCAGGGTGTTGCTACCCCATCTTCCAGGCTTGGAGGAGAGGCTCAAGGATCCCCGGGCTTGGTCATCTGCTGGTGGGGACCTCACATCTGTGTGGGCAGATCTCAAGCCACATGACTCGGTTAGGGGCCCTCTACCCCTGTCCATGGGATAAGGTGCCTTGTGAGGGACGTTTGAGCTTCCAGCACCCTCACCCCTGCAGGCTGGCATCCGACTATTCCTATTCCTATCCTACTATTCTGGACCGCTATAAAGATGAGATTGTAAAGCTGAGACTTTAGAAGTCATCTAATTCAACTTCCTGTTTTTCCTGGGAAACTGAGACCCAAGGGGGTGAAACAGGACACATGGTTCCCTAGGACACAGCCAAGCCTGGAGTCTGCGCAGCTCCAAGGTCCTTTCGGTCACAGCCGTTCTCCCCCAACCTGCAGAAGAAAATGCGAGCATGTCGAACTGGGTGTGGCACGGTAGGGGCACAGCCCACAGATCCTGTTACTGGCCATGTTTTGCCAATTTCATTTCTGTTATTTTCCTTCCACAAGGTCATAATAAACTTAGGTTGCAGCAAAGAATTTTGCACAACTGGCTTTTGAGGGGTGGTTCTAAATACGTTCCTTAAATATAGACCAAATAGCTGGGGCAACAAGGTAAAATTTGCCAAGATGGGATAAGATGGCATGTTAGCTCCGTAAAGAGAGGAGAAAGGAATTGACATGAAGGGAAAGTTTGCAGGCAGGCGGGCCGAGAGGCACAGACGGGCCCCATCTTCAAGTGTGGCCGGGAGAATTATACAGCCAGTGACAACAGAGAACCTGAGGGTGCAATTCCTGCCAGTGCAGGGAGATGGCCTACAGGTCAGGGGTGATTCAGGGACACATCTCTCTGCCTGAGTTGGGGGAAGGGAGAGTTTTCTTCTTGGAGATGGCAGAGCCTGGGACAAATCCAGAGCATTGGGACAGGATCCCCTCCTGGCATAAAAGGATTGAGTGCAGGGACAAGGAGGCTGAGGGCAAGATCCTGGGAGTGCCAGGCCCTCCCTCCCAGACTCAGATAGAGACCCTTCAAACTGTGAGTACCTCCTCCCACCCCACCAAGAGAAAATATAGAGAGAAGGGACCGTGGGGTCGTTTGGGGATGGATCTTAGTGACCAAACCTGCCACTTAAAGGACCCATCCGCAGGTGCAGTTTCTGCTGCAGTATTGGGGTCAGTCCACCCTCAGAGACACCGCTCCCCCCCCCCCAGCTCTGGAGTCAGACACCTTAGTTTGAATCCTGGCTCTGCCATCTGCTAGCTTGGTGGCCTTTCCTTAGTTATGTCACCTCTCTGTGCCTCAGCTTCCTCTTCAGTGAGACAGAGATACTAACAGTAACTGACCTGAAGGCATGCCTGTGAGGATTAAAGCAGATGATGTGTGTGATCTTCCTTTGTCCCTGCTTTAGTAGCTGGCCCCTAGCTGGGGACGCCCATGCAGACTGGCAGGTCTGCAGGTGTTGGGTCTTATTGCCCTGACATGTGTGTCTCAGCCTGTGTCTGGGATGTAAGCTGCTGAGGACTGAGATTGCATTTTGTATTTCTTCGACCCCTCCAATTGCTTTTGACTGGCAGGAGAGCCTCCTTGGGCCGTGCGGTGGAGGGGTGACGGCTCCGAGCCACATGTCTTGATCTCAGTTGGGATCCCAGCTCACTGTGTGACTTTAGGCCAGTTCCTTCCCCTCTTTGGGCCCCAGTTCCCCCATCTACAAAGCCATGTAACCTGCTCTGGACCAGTGCCTACCATAGCTGGATGTGTATAAGAGTCATCTAGGGTGTTTGTTAAAATTACAGATTCTAGGCCCCCAGGCCCAGATCTCACTGGGGCCAAGCCCAATGTCTAGGTCCCAGTCTGCTGGGCTATCTGTCCAGCTAGATCCAGTCAGCACTCTGCAAAATCAGAGGTATATCTGATAACGATGACAGTGAAAATGATGAACTGCAGCCAGTTGACTATTCCAAGAACTGCTTACCCCCGCCGCAGGGAGATAAGAGTGTACAGAGCTGGCAGATGCCGCTTGCCTTCAACATCAACCCCTAAACCAGTTTTCTTAGTGCCATGTTCCCTCCACCCTTCCAAGCCAAGAGGTTGCAACAATTGTGTTTACTCTTTAAGTTTGTGGGCCATAAGATGAGAATGTGGTTTTAAATTTGCCCCAACAGAAGACTGCCGTGAACTGTGGGGCCCACACCTAGGGGGAGAACCTTAGCTCCTCAAGGAAAAACATTTAACATTAAATACGCCTGCCCAAGACATCGGACTTAGAGATATTTCAAATGTGAATGTTTCTGGTGTTGAGGACCAGATAAAATGGGCACTTCAAGCAGTTGTTGATTTGTTTAGGAAAATAACCAAGACCTTAAAAATGCTCATTCCAGTGGATCCTATATAACTCTATTCTGAGACTTTGACTTAAACAGTTTATCTTAAATAGGAAGAAAAAATTTTGCAAAATAATATCCATGCTGTTCAATACTTTGATCTGGATGATGTATCAAGCTGCACTTTCACTTGTTCACTTTACTACTGTATGTGAATAATACTGTTATTAAAAGCAAGAACATTCCTGATAGAGATATTAAAGCCTCGTTCTGCAGCCCAATTGTGACCTCTGTCACTTACAAGCTCTGGAACCTTATTGTGCAAGTTACCTGACCCTGCCTCTCACCCCCCATCTGCAAAATGTGAGGATTAAATGGCTTAAGACTGATTTGAATACTTGGGACAGTGCCTGCTGTCTAGAAAACATTCACTAATTATTAGCAGTTTTTAGTTATCATTGTTGAAACAGCAATTTGGTATACAATCTCAAGGTTCAGAAATAAGGAAGCAATTATGTAATGTTGTAGCCACCAGAATAATGCTCAAAATAAATTTGTATAACACTAGGCAGTGCTTAGAGTATCACTTTAGGTAATTTAAGGGGAAAAAGTCAGGATAACAGGATTGGCTATAAATCATAACCTCAAGTATGTTTAGAAACACGCTAGGAAGAAAGCATTGAGGACAACACATCGCAGCGCTCATTGAGGTTGTCTCTGGGTGGTACCTATTTTCTTCTCGAAGCTCCTTTCTACTTCCTAAGGAGCATGTGGCCAGAGCTTTGTATGCCTTGAAGACAGTGTCTTCATGAAAGGTTTGGCCCCAGAGCCTCAGAGTGAGGCGATTTCTCCATTTCAGGCAGTCCCAAGGGGGTAGTGACAGCTGGGTTGAGTTGGGGACGGGGCCCCTATGTTAGCCAGGGGCGGGGAGGGAAGGGGGACTGGCTAGCCACAAGTACCGCAAATTGCTGAGCTTCTGGGGCAGGCGAGGGAGGGGAACCAATGGCGTGAGCCCGTGTGTCCTTGCTGATGGCCCCTTCTCCTCCGCAGCTGAACTACAAGGACTGCGAAAGGGCCGTGAGGAAGCACCTCATCGACGGGGCGCGGTTCTTGGTAAGCGCTGGCCAGGCAGCATCTGAGACAGGGATGCTCTGTGCTTGTCCCCTGGCTGCAGGGCCAGCTGGTCTGCCCTGTCCCTGGGGACGCCCATGTCAATGGCTGTCTCCGGGGGTCCTGGGGTAGCATCCGCCCTCTCCAGAATCTTCATAGGGCCCCTCTCCCACCACCTCTCCAGACCCCCCTATTCAGACCCCTCTCACGCCTCTTGCTGATGCTGAGATACACTCTAAAGTACAAGGAGGACTCTAAGTACAGTTGGGGAAAAAAAATCTGGAAAATCTATTCAAATGCCATCCACACTTTGAAAAGCCCGAGAGGAAAAATGATCCTATCGGAGAACAGACGATTGTCACCTCCAACGTCTCACCCTGGGGGACATGCCACTGAGAGGAATAAAGGGTGGCATCATCTCTTTATTTCAATTACTCCCCTCTTTCTCACTACTGAAATTCATAGTTTATTCTGTGTCAAACACACATGTGGCGTGGCTCTCCGCTGCATCATCATTCAAAAAGCTTTCAGTCTAAGACCAGGGCGCAGGTGTGTACTCAGCACTAAGCCACGGAAGGGAAAGGGACACCGCTCTAGTGCTGGAGACAGAGGTACAGGATGTGGCCGGGGGTGGTCTGACATTTTCCCTGAAGTGACACCTCTTCAAGTGGGTTAAGAGAGACCCTCACTGCACCAATCCGTCCCTTCTGGGCGCTTTGCTTCACTCTTTAAAAAAGAAATGTAAACAGGACTCTCAAGGTCTCAAGGGGCGGATGTTCCTAATTTGGATTCAGAGTGGTGAGGAGGGCACGCTAAGCTTTGATGGCCCGTAAGTCAGTGCCAGTAAAGGAACTTGACCGTGAGGCTTCAGGCCAGTTGGAAGGGACCAGAGAGGTCACAGGCTCCAGTGTGTCATTCAAGACACCAGGACACCATTTTTATACTGCATCCCTGCTATCAACAGCTGCTTGAATTCCTTCAGGGATGGTGAGCTCACTACCACCCATAGTTATCTGCCCCTTTCTGGGCAGCTCTGAAGTCTCACACTGAGACTAAACCTGTGCTTCCTTTGGTCTGAGTTTTGCTATCAGGTGCCGTGTAAGACATATTTATTCACGGTCCACCTAAATCATTCATTCATCCACCCATCCATTCACTGGACAGGCATTTTCCTGAGGTCCTTTCACATGCTGGATCATGCCAAGTACTGGGGGATAGAGAAAGGGTTAAGATGTAATTTCTGCCTTCTAGAAGCTTCTTTTATAGCAGAAGGGTATCCAGGAAGGCCTCCAGCCACCTCTTTGCAAATGAGGAAACACACGCAGAGGTGTGATGCGATTTTTTCTATGTCACAGACCTAGTAATCAAGCTAAAGCATGCATTTAATTTAGTCTAAAACTGTTTGAGCTTATAACAATGTTATTAATTTATACTGAGCTTTGAGTCAATAGAATTCCTGGAGTATTATTATTACTGTCCTTGCAAATTACTGCTGAACCCAAATATTTCATCCTGGTGCCTTTAGCACTGAGAACAGACTTACCATGTTTGAGTAAAAAGGGAGGATAACACCTTTGAGGATGGTCTTGCAGTGGCCCTGCTGCCCTGGTCACCGTGAGCAAGCCCTTTCCTCCCTGAGCCTGCCTTGCTCCCTTCTGCATTGAGCCGGGTCAAAGCGGACGCCGGCTCTGGGATTCCCCCAACACTCCCCCTGTGGTGTCAGGCTGGGGAGGACAGGGTCATGTCCTTGGTCAAGAGGTATTTTCTGAGCAGCTTTGTCTCCTCTAATTCAATCTCTGGGACCCGGCAGTCCCTCAGAGAACGCAGCACATTCTGCTCATTGTGCGAACAGGAGGAAAGTGGGGAGACGGGCCAGGAGAGCAGAGACCAGAATCCAGCACCCCCCCCAACTGGGGAAACCCATCATCCACCCCAGCTGCTCTGGGTGCGAATTTGGACTCCTGGTGTAGGCTCTAATTACTTGTCTTTCACTTCTTCCTGCTCTATAATATCCAGGGCCAGGCTACTCTTGAAGGCAAAAGTGGAGGGCCCTAGTTATTCCTGCCTGCCTGCCTTCCCTCCCCTTCCATTTCTTTCCCTTCCTTCCTTCCTTCCTTTCTTCCTTCCTTCCTTCCTTCCTTCCTTCCTTCCTTCTCTCCTTCCTTCCTTCCTTCCTTCTTCTTTCTTTCTTTTTTTTTTTTTGAGACAGAGTCTTCACTTTTTGCCCAGGCTAGAGTGAGGTGCGGTGGTGTCAGCTAAGCATCACAGCACCTCAACTCCTGCTCAAGTAATCCTCCTGGCCTCAGCCTCCCAAGTAGCGGGACTAAGGCATGCGCCACCATGGCCCGGCTAATTTTTTGTATATATATTAGTTGGCCAATTATCTTTATTTATAGTAGAGACGGGGTCTCGCGTCTTGCTCGAGGCTGGTGTAGACTCCTGACCTCGAGCAATCGCCCGTCTCGCCTCCAGAGAGCTAGGTTACAGGCGTGAGCCACTGCCCGGCCTTCTTCTTTCTTTCTCTTTCTTTCTTTCTTTCTTTCTTTCTTTCTTTCTTTCTTTCTTTCTTTCTTTCTTTCTTTCTTTCTTTCTCTTTTTTCCTCTCTTCCTCTCTCTTTCTTCCTTTCTTCTTTCTCTCTCTTTTTCTTTCTTTCCTTCTTTCTCTCTTTCTTCTCTCCCTTTTTCTTTCTTTCTTTCTTTCTTTCTTTCTTTCTTTCTTTCTTTCTTTCTTTCTTTCTTTCTTTCTTCTTCTTCAAAGTAGGAGCAAGGAGGCCCCTTGAATCTGTCTTGCTGTCATTTTTATTTTCCATATAAGAAGGACAGAATCTTGTCTGGTGGAGAATAGGGACGCTATGCTTCCAGAAGTATTAAAAGAGAAGGAAATGTGCTTGAAATCATTATCAGTTGGAAAGGCATGTGGCTCCATGTCACAGAAACCTGACCACAATGGCCTGACCAAATAGAGGTTGGTCTTTCTCAATTAATAAGAAATGTACAGATGGGTGCTGGGGCTGGTGAACTGCTGAAGGAAGTCATCAAAAACCCAGGCTTCATCCAGCCTGTGGAAAAACCCTACTGCTCCTGTCCAAATGGTTGTGAGTTTGCTGCTCCACCTGGAGGCATCACATCTGCGCTGTAGGCCGGAGGAAGGGGGAGGGCAAAGAGTAACAGGTGCATGGTGAATGGTAAATGTGTGCCCTCTTTTTTCAGGAAAGTAGTACATTTTCCAGAAGTTTCATCCAGCAGACTTTAGGTAATATCTCACTGCTTGCGATGAAGTCATGTGACCTCCACCATGAGCAAAGGAGTCTAGGGAGTTAAATATTTTGAACAAGTATGTTTAAAGCCCCGAATTCAGGACCAGTCAGTAAGGACGAAAGAGAGAGTGGGTATTAGTAGGCAAACTGCAGTGCCTGCATGCTGCCTCTCCAGGCGGGCCCAGTCTGAGGCTTTGCCCTCTCTGTGTCCCTCTTCTGGACACCCATAGCACATAACACCTCTGCAAAGTCACCAAACTAACTCCAAAGTCATCACACAAGTGACCCAGGGTTTGCTGAAGGTTTTTGAAAGAGGTGGTGGTGGTTGGGTTACGTCACACAGCGAAACTCTCCAAAACTCCTGTTTCAATATCTCTCGTCGTTCCTCACTGCTCTTGTCCCAGTTCTAAATGTCTTTCCTTTTCCTAACAAGCTGCTCCTCTGTGTCTCCAGCCGTGCTCACCTCCGCTGCTCCTCCACAATGTTCCTGAAATCCCCTCAGCCTGTGTTCACCTCTCTGCACAACAGAAGCTGGTAGCCGGCTGCCTGGTGCTCAGCTGTCGTCCCTCTGGCAGCCCCGGGAACCTTCCACGCATCACACCACGCTCTGAGCATGAGTCTCAGTCCCCTCCCTGAGAGTAGCATAGCTCTGGAGGGGGGAGATGCTGCTGCTCAGAGACATTAAAAAAAAAAAAAAAAAAGCAGAAGAGGTTAAGAAGCTTGACCAAAAGCCTGGTGCTCTCAGGACCCTTGGCTGACTCTTTTCCCAGTCCTGCCTCACATGGTCTGACAAACGGGTTGGGTCCCAAACTGCTCCTAGGAGCTAGGTCAGATGAACCCAATCAGCACATTGCTAAGATGCCCAGCCCAGCCCCCGTGCCAGCTGAGCTCAAAGGGAAGCTTGTCCAGCTCTTCCCAGTGGGCAGCAAGCAACCTGACAAGCAGCTCCCAGCACAAAGAAGGAAAAGAAGCAAAAATACCTCCAAGACCCAGCCAGACCCACTCCCCTCCCAATTCCACCTCCTGAGCTAGTGATTCCTCATCTTCCTCCCCAACATCTCAGTCTCCCACTCTGCTGGGCACTGTGCCAAGCACATTACATTCACCGCCCAATTCAATTCTCATGCCCCCGAGAAAGGGGGGGTGTTATTATGAATATTATAATGATCCCCATTTTACAGATGAGAAAACTGAGGTTTGGAAGAGCTAAGGGTGTGCCCAAAATAAGACAGCAGCCAAGTGGATGAACCAAGACTCAAATGCAGCCTGTCCAACTCCAGAGCCCCCACCCTGACCACGGGCCTTGATGAGAAGGGCCTGGAGCCCCTTCTCTGGCTCACGGCTGGCTCTGTGGAAAGCACCCCACCCTCGTTTCTGATCCCCACACTGGCATGCCGCCCCCCACCCCTGCTTTCAAGATGTCTTCCGTCACCCTCTCCACCCACCTCCCTCCAGCTTAGGCCACGGGGACCCCCAAAGGGCTCAGACCAGGAGAAAATAGACCGTGATGCCCTAGAGCAGAGTCCCCACCCCTGCTTGTCACCGACCAGCCGAAGTTCCCTTAATGTCCCTGAGCCTCTGTGCTCCTAGGAATGTATGACAGACAGTCCCTGCATGACAGGGCTGATGGAGGACGAACTGAGGTGTTACAAGGCAAAAGCCCAGCGTCAGCTCTTGGCGAATCAGAGGGTCTTTCTCCTTCCGCTCTGGGTTCCCTCGGGAGAGCCTTTTCCTTGCACCTCCCATCTCGAGAGCTCCACCAGGGGCCTGGAGAGAGTCTCTGGGGTGTGGCAGTGTAAGGGGGCAGGGGCCCTCCTCCAGGTTGGCTTCCCCACAGCCGGGCCTCGTGGAGCCCAAGGGGCCCTGAAGTCTGGGGTGTGAGGTTAGGGAAGAGGTCACCACAGGGCCAAATTCAGCCCACAAAACAAGTTGCTTGGTTTCACAGATTTTGCTCTCATCGTTTCTGTTTGGTCAAGTCAAAAATACTTGTCAACAGTAAAAACTCAGACCATTTCTCATAAAATCTGTATTTCAGGGTTCTCTATGTAAAAGTAGATCCAGCAACCCCAGGTACAGCCCATGGGCTTTTAGACAATTTCTAGAAGCTGCCAGCTTTGGGTGGGGGGTGGGGGTATACGCTTCAGCTTGCCGCAAGCCCCACCACTCCCTAGCCTGCTCCACGCGTTACTCTGCTCGCCTGGCTCGGAGCCCTCCCTGCGGGTCGTGACCGCCTGCCATGCATGTCTTCATTTCAGAGCCTGACGGAAAACGACATCCAGAAGTTCCCCAAGCTCCGGGTGCCGTAAGTACTCCCCGACCCCTTGTGCCGTTTGGGAAACAGAGTTTGGGATGGAAGTAGTCTGGGGGTCTGGGCCAGTTACGTGTCTCTGTTGGGTTGGAATGAGAAAGCAGGCTGGGTGGCTGGGGACAAGGGCAGGGTGTGGGGAAGAGAAGTTGCACGATGGGCTGGAAAAAGGAAGTCACAGCTCCGGCCCAGCTGGTGAGCTGGATGCTCTTGCCACAGACGAGCCCGGCTCTAGATGGTGTTTTCACTTCCTCCCTTCCCATGGGGTGCCTGGGCCTCTAAGAACAGCGCCAGCCCCGAGAGACCACAGGTTTCATCGTGGCGTCATCATCAACTCTGGGATATCTTGAGTTTCTCTGGACCTTTGTTTCCAGCTCAGCAAAATGAGAGCTGAGCCAGATGCAGGATGGCAATGCAAATCAGCGTGCGCAGATACTGACTGCCTCGGGATGGCTGCCAGGGGTGCGGTGTTGGGAAGAATCCTGAGGAAACAGAGCTGTTATTGATTACTCATGTCTGCCCTGGGAGCTGAAATGGAAGTTAGAGTGTGCACATCGTGCCACGCATTTTTCATCCCTCTAAGTAAGGATCTCACGTGCTCAAAAATACCTAATACAGGAGCCAGGCAGGAGACAGGAATATGTAAAATGAGCCAGGTTGAAAACACAAAGCCCTATCCATTTATCTTTTGTTTTGCCACCATTGAGTAAAACAGTGGTAAATATTCTATACGGAGAAATATTTCTCCACTGTAAGAAAAGTAATAGCACAGGTACGATGATAAAAAAAAAAGTAGCCACCACAAAGCCTCATTGTTGGTGAAACAATAGGGAGCAGTGGAGATTGAGGCAAACCAGACATTATAATCTCCATTCAAAGACTGCAGTAGCCACCACACTCCAGTGTGGACCTGACAATGTTCAATCTTCAAATTTATCAAGTGTAGCTGGAAATATGAGCTTTCTGTGATTAATCTCTATTTTGAAATGTTGGCTCAAATATTTTTAAATATTTTGAAAGCCAGAGTAAACATACCTATGAGCTAGAGTTAGGCTGGGTGTTACCCATTCGAGACCTCAACTTGGATGTTCTCTGAGGTCCTTTCTCTTGGTCTACGGGTCTCAGAACTCATAATAACAGAAGGCAAGAAGGTCAAATGAGTAGGAGTTTGAGAGATCTCATGAATGCCAGAGACTCAATTAAAAAAATATTTTTTTAGCGTAATTATCAGGTTTCCCTTGTCTGGAAGGGAAAAGGAAAAGAAGAATAAGGGTTTGCCTTTGGGGCTATTGTTGAAGATGGCTTGATCTTTCTAAGGATTTCCTCTAACCACACTCGGCTATCTAAGTTTAAATTTAATTTAAAATTCAGTTACTCGGAGGCACTAGCCACATTGTAACAGCTACATATAGCTGGCAACTGCTACACTAGAGCAGATGTAGAACATTTCCATGATTGCAGAAATGCGATGTTCCAGAAACAAGCCATAGAACTATGTAAAAGAGAGGCCTTCCCACACGGGGGCCAGACCCAGACTGCAGGTATGTTAAGTTTAGTCCACACTGCATTTGAAAATCGAGAAAAGTTTCACAAAATCCACGTTCTTTAGAAACAAGTGAAAGATGTGGTGATCCAGGGCCCATATTCTGTCGTTGCAGGAGTGGGCTGGAGCTGATGTCCGCTGCCCTGTGTAGGTGGGGTTTGAGCTCCTGTGCACCCCAGTCCCTACCACGACCTGAGGGCTTGTCCCAAGGCACAGCAAGCATTTGTATCCCATGCATAGGAACTTGAAGTAATAGGATCATATTTACTTTCCCGCATGAAACAACCAAATACCTAGACAAATACATGGAACAGCAGTTTTTACGACATTGGACATCAGACAAGGAGAATGGAGAACAAAGGCAGGGAATGCTATGACCGCTCAGTGCTTTGAGAGAGTCTCCAGGCCATGGTGCAGGGGCCGGAAACATAACGCTAAGCCTGGTGGACACCTTGAGTTGAGGAGACAGCTGGGAATGCAGGTGTCTGGAGTTCACTGAACAGGAGCCTGAGAGAAGAGCGCCCTAGCAGGTGTTCCGGAGAGGTCCAGAGGACCTGTCTGCATCAGGTGCTGAGCGGTGGGTACATGTACGAAAGGAGACTGCCTGCAGTTCACAAAAGAACTACCCAAGAGGACTGGAGGAACTAGTAGCCTCTCACAGGGCTGGAAATGGTGCCTGTTTCTACTAGCCTGGTTGGAGAACCTCTAGATGAACAGTCATTGGCTAGACTGCACAGAAGGATGTTGCCTTAAGAGTAGGGAATAATTAGCCCTAGTCTAAAAAGTCTTCTGGTCTTTCCTAGAAAATCTTAGAAGCAAGACACAACAGCAACAAATTGTTTCTCAGTAACTTAACTGCATCTCAAAACAAAACTTAAAACTCTTTATAGGAATGCAAAAATATTCATTACTCAATGAAAGAAAATTCACAATGTTAGGCATCTAAACAGAGACTAACAGGCAAGCAAATAAGCAGGAAGTATGACCCATAATGAGGAGAAAAGCTAACACATCAAAACTGCCCCATAACTGACCCAGATATTAGAATCAGCAGACATGGACAATATAACTATTTCATGTGTGAATAGTTAAATCCAGGCATGGGAAATGCAAAAATACCCAAACAGAACTTCTAGAGATGAAGACTATCATATCTGAGATTAGAAATATACTGCTTGGGACTAAGAGCAGGTTAGATGTTGCAGAAAAAAAATAGTAGTAAACGCAGAGATACAGCAAATGAAACAAACACAGAAAAAAATTAAAACAATGAAAAGAGCATCAGGGAACTTTGGAACAACTTCAAGTAGCCAAATATACATCTAAAGTCTCCAAAGAAGAGGAAAGAATGTGCATATGAGACAGGCAGGAGAGACATAAATAAAATATTTGAATAAATAATGGCTAAAACATTTTCAATTGGATGAAAATTATAATCCCACAGATTCAAGAGGTTTAACAAACCTAAAGTCCAAGAAAAAAGAAGACAAATGCCCCAAGGTGCATCATAATCAAATTCCCCAAAACCAGTGATAAAAAGAAAATCTTAAAAGCAGTTAGAAAAAAATTTAAAAGACACATTACATACAGAAGAACAAATATAAGTATCAGTGCAGATTTCTGGTCAGAAATAATGCAATAGCGGCACGGTGGGCTCACGGCTGTGGATCCTAGGCACCTGGAGCGAGGCGGCGGATAGCTGTGAGGTCAGGGAGTTCGAAACCAGCCTGAGCCTAAGAGCGAGATCCCGTCTCTACTATAAATACGAGAAATTAATTGGGCTATAACTAATACCATAGAGAAAAAAAATTAGCTGGGCATGGGTGCGATGGGCCTGTAGCCCTCCAGCTACCCGGTGAGGCTAGCAGAGATGCTTGACCAGGAGTTTTGAGGTGCTATGGCTAGGGGATGCCACGGCAACTCACTCTAGCCTTGGAAAAAGTGAGACTTTGTCTCAAAAAGAAAGAAAGAAAGAAAAAGAAAGAAGAAAGAAAGAAAGAAAAGAAGAAAGGAAAGAAAGAAAGGAAAAAAGAAAAAAGAAAGAGAAAGAAAAGAAAGAAGGAAGAAGAATAGAAGAAAGAAAGAAAGAAGAAAGAGAAAGAAAGAAAGAAAGAAAAGAAAGGAAAGAAAGAAAGAAGAAAGAAAGAGAGAAGGGAAGAAGAAGGTAAAGAGGAAGGGAAGAGAAAGGAAGGAAGGAAGGAAGGAAGGCAAGGAAGGAAGGAAGGAAGGAAGGAAGGAAGGAGAAAGAAAGAAAGAAGAAAGAAAGAGAAAGATAAAGAAACGAAGAAAAAGAAAAGAAAGAAAGAAAGAAAGAAAGAAAAAAGAAAGAAAAGAAAGAATTCAAGGCAGTGGAGTACTGAAAGTAAAGTACCAAAAGAAAAATATTGTCAATCTAGAGTTCAATACCCAGCAAAAATGCCTTTCAAAAATGAAGGGGCAATAAAGAGTCACTGATCACCCTTATCAGTGACTTGGAGAATCCCCGTTTCTCTTGGCAGGAATGTGTAACAAGCACCAATTCCAGCTCTACTTCCAATGGGCCGTGTGACCTGGGACACATCCTAGACCCCCCTCAGTTTCCTAGACTACAAAGAGCTGCAAAGGGTGAAATATATATGCTGTATGGGCTTGCTGGTTATAAACGCTACCATTGTAGGTGTGAACAGGTAGATGGGAAAACCAGGTAGATAGTGAGAAAAAGCACAGGCCCCGTGGTCAGACTACTTGAAACTCAATCTTCCCACTCACAAACTGTGGAAGACTGTGAGACTGAGGACAATTATCTCAGCTCTCTGAGCCTCAGCTTCCTCATCTGTAAAATGGGGATAATAATAGAACCTCCCTCAAAGAGTCATGGGGAAAATTAAAGGAAATAATGGGGAAATGATAATATACACTAAGTGTTAGCTATTCTCACTTTGCATAAAATCCCAATTAGCACAAATTAGAATTTTTTACTAAGCATTCTATCTTGTTAGAAAGGGAAGATTGAAGAATAAAAAGGGCATGGGGCTTCGGATGGGGCGATCCAGGTTCTGAGGCTGCCTCTGCCCCTTTCCTTCCAGTGGGAGCTTGGGGAAGTGGCTTCACCAGTCTGAGCCTCAGTTTCCTCATCTGTCGTAGCGAAGAGAACTAGCTTTCAGGGAGAGGAGAATGTTAAAGGAGGCAGCCCACGTGAATCGTCTAGCACTGCCTTTGACACATATGGATGTTCAGTGCTTACTCATTCCCTGCCCTTGCACATAAGCTGATTTTTTTTTTTTTTGCTCATTACCCTAAGAGGCTATGGAAAAGACATTGTGTCTATGTGCAGCAGACCCAAACAAGATTACACTCCTTTGAACATATCTGTTTTCTTCCCCAAAGCTTAAAATATCAGTATTAAATCGATTTTGGAAGAAGCCAAATTCTGGTGAGGGAGGCTGCCTCTGTCTACAAACATGGCCCCTCTCTAG